TATATATATATATCCAATTTGCGTGCGTGCATGTTGTCACTGTGCGTTTGCAGCTGCGGGTCCGTCCAAAGGGCCTCCTCCTCCTCCTCCTCCTCCTCGTCCTCGTCCCCCTGCTGCTGCTCGCGGTCACAGCGGCATGCTTGCTGCAGGCCGCCAGAGAGCTGGTGGGACCGGATTCCTCCTAGCTGCTCTACGCATATCCTTACGCAAGGTCCTCGCCTAGGAGCTGGCCTAGGAGCTGGCCGCCGCTAACGCCCTCAGGGCCCGCGTGGCCGCCGCCGCCTGGCCGCCGCGGTCAGCCTGGGGGGCTGAAGTTGGCGTCGAATGGGTTGCCTACCTGCCCGGCGCTCGGGCCGCCGCGGAGCAGCAGAGGCGAGCTGTTCAAAGCAGGTGCGGGTGACGTTGACACCTTTTGAGAAACGTTTCCAGGAAGTTTTTAGGTGGTGTGTTTCTGGATGTGATAATAATTTCAAATGCGACAAAACGAAACATTCTTTTGAAAGTAAATTCGACTTGGAAATATGACTGGTTTGTCTTGACGTACACAGCTCTAACTAGCATTAAAGTGTCGTCTTCCGTGTGCCGTTTTTTCCCTATCCCTTACCTTTTCCCCCTTTTTTGCATTCTTCGCTGGCGAGTGCGCCTTGCTGGCTCGCGTGAGTCCCTATGCTAGCACGAGAGGGACTGCCTGCCTGCATGGCCTGCAGCCGCGCGCTCGCTCGGGGAATGCAATGCACGCTCGCTTTAAACTTTTCTCCCTCACTTTACTTCTCTTTCCCTCACTTTTTCTCGCCCCCTGTGCGCCTGCGAGGTGTGAAACAAGCGGGGTATGTGCGAGGCTCAGGCCACTTTGTGGCGAGGTACAGGAGCGTGTGCGTGTGTGTGTGTGTGTGTGTGTGTGTGTGTGTGTGTGTGTGCGAGCGGGAAGAAGGAGAGGAGGTTCAGACAAGGGGTTTCTGCGGGGGAGGGGGTGGGGGAATCACAATTGGCAAAGTCAGTGCGCGGGGGACCCCGCCTGCAGCACCCGCAGGCGGTGAGCAGTGTAAGAAGCCCCGAGGCAGCGCAGAACGAAGTAATACAAAAAAAAAAATGTATAAAAAAATCTGTTGCTCTCCTCCGCTTGTTGAGACTCAACAAGTGTTGTTATTGTTGTTGTTGCTGTTGGTCAGCCTTTTATTATTTTCCACGTGTGTAACCACCAACTCCCCCTCCCCTCTCCCCCTGCCGTGCCACCATACCGCATATACGACGGCCCCCGCCGCTGCAAAATGCATGCAAGCGAAATACAGAAGGCAACACAGAGTGGGAACAAAAAAGAAAGAGTAATATAGGAGAGGAGGCAAAAAGACATTGCGAACGACAAACGTAGGCGTGTCCCACCGTGCCGTCGGGGGTGGAGCACCGCTTCACAAATTGATTGTTATACCCAGCACCACAGTAAGAAAGTACTTGTTTTTTTGTTTTTGTTGAGGACGCGGATTTTTTGCGACAAAAAAAAAAGCGCATCTAAACACTCTAATTTTCTGCCAAATCTGTATACAGTGCGTTGAGCGTATTTGTGTGTTTTTTTTAGAGGGTTGATTTGCGCACACTTTTTATATTTGCAAATTCAATTTAAAACACAACACGGAAATAATTAGAAAACGATTCAAACAATTCAAGCTCATTTACGCTAAGGACCAATTCAGTAAAATCAAGTACCAATAAATTCAGTGCAACTCAAAACAAATCAGTCGAGTTCAATCTAATTCTGATTCGACGCACAAAATTTGTTCACCCAATCCAACAGTTTATTCCCCCCCCCCCCTCATTTCCAGCCACAGTCTTTTTGATTTTACTCATTGTTCTGCGAGTAATAAAAGTTGTGGCATTCGCTGATCCTGCTTGTTACGGCGAAAGACTTACCCGGTCTGGAGGCCTTACGCCCGGCTCAAAGACCAAACACTTTTACGACTGGAAGTGCCTAATGACTCGAGCCGCGCGAACAGAGGGCTTGTGCCGGCCACGGGAGGGGTGCGGCGGGGCGGGGTGTTCCGAGGTGTGGCGAGGTGTTCCGAGGCGTGCGCAGGGACCCTCCTGCTGATCGAGACGGGCGTAATTAGTCGGGAGGGCTTTATGGGCTGAGAAGAGAGAGAGGGAGAGAGACAGGAGTGGCTGAGGGGGGGGGGGGCTGAAAATGGTCGTGTCTGAGAGGAGGAGGAGGGAGGGGGGGGTAAGATTAAAAGCGGAGTGGACACCCCTCGGCAGGAGCCCATGCAGTGCAAGGTCCTCGTCGGCAATAAATTACCGATACTAGGCGCGACGGAGGGGCGAGGCGAGGACCAACACCGCGCCAAACAGGTTGTTGGGCCGCGGGCCCCGCGCTGGGGGATTGGAGGGGGTTAAAGGTGCACGGTGTGACGAGAAAGACAAAGCCGGCCTATTTGACTGAAAGAGTGTGAATGTTGCACTCTTGTCGGCGTGTCCATGGACGCCGGACGCCCTTGTGTACATTTAAGAGAGGAAAAGTTTGAATTTTCTTTTTGAAAACTTACACGCTTCTTTGTGCCTCCGTCTGTGTGTACGAATGGCGTAGAAAATTTTGTCATTCCCTTTTGCGCATGCACTGCGACGTTGCTGGGCACACGTTATGGCACCTGGTTGATGGGTCGTGAGGCAGGCTTAGTGACATTGTCGTTTTTTTTTTTATTATTTGTTTTTAGTCGCGCGTGACAATCGAGTTTACGAACGAAGCTCTGATACGTGGCGCCTCGCGAGATGGGTGTCGCTAATGGTGTCCTGGAGCCTGGAACTGGAGAGGAAGGGGGGGGGGGCTTGTAAAGCGAACCAAGCCGACGGCCGTATATATTCCAGGAGCCTGTGGTGGAGGTGGAGGTGTCCGTTCGACCCGGCCGGCGTTGCGCCCGGTTCCAGGTGGAAGAGGCGAAAGAGCCATTTCGAGGGCCGCCTTTGCTGCTACTCCCTCTCTCTCTCTCTCTCTCTCTCTCTCTCTCTCTCTCTCTCTCTCTCGCGCCCTTCCTCTCTCTCGTCTCTCTCTCGCTCCCTCTGGCTCATTCTCTCTCCATCTCTCTCTTTCGCTCTGTGCTCTCGCGGCTCTCGCTCGCTCTCTGTCTCTCCCTCTGTCTCTTCCTCTGTCTCTTCCTCTGCATCTCCCCCTCTCTCTCTCTCTCTCTCCCCCTCTCTCTCCCTGTCTCTCTCCCTGTCTCTCTCCCTCTCTGTCTCTTTCTCCCCCTCCCTCTCTCCCTCACTCTCTCGCTCTCTCACTCTCTCACTCTCGGCCTCCGCACACAACGGGGCACGTGCTCGCCGTTGCTGTCGTTGCTCTTTGTCCCCCGCACAGGAAGCGGCCGTGCAATGATCGCTCTATTCAGCAGAGAGGAAGCTCGGCTCGCGTTTTTGAATGCATGTCCGATGCAGCCTGCCGCCGACTGGCCGCCGACGCCTGCAGACCGGCGGCGCTCGCGACACACCTCCTCTCTGGTCTTCAACGTCAACCTGAACCTGGTTTCGGTTACAAAGTCGGGCGACAGTCGTCGCGATGGTCGCGTTGTAGTCCTCCTGGTGGACCTCAAGTGTGGGGTTTTTAGTCGTGGCCGCGGAAGCAGCGCGCCTCGCTGCCAGTTTAGCAATGACCGACGCTCCTAAAGTTCTAAGTAATTTAAACTGATTTCTTCACAACAAGAAATACAAGTACAAGCCTACGAGACACTACTCCCGAAGACTGTCTCTACTATAGGGAAAACCGCACGCCATCCTTGTTCTTTTCCATTTACTCTGTAAACGAGCGGTTTTAAAAGTTACAAAAATTAGAAGTAGTAAGACTGTAAGAACCGAGACGTGTTCAAAACCAATGGGAGAGTATTTTCCCAATTCTGACGTGAGCTCACGTATACGAATCTAATCGCTCTGAACGGTGACGGTGCTCGGCTATTTTCATCCTCACGTTCCCGCTTTGTCTCTCTCTGGCCGCGAGTGGTTTGGCGCGACGGCTGTGGCCACGATATGAGTCACTGCGAGTCACTGGCTAGGACCCTGTAACGATGCTCGATTCTTTAGTCCCCCCCCCCCTAAAAAAAAAGAAAATAATAAAAACACCAAGTTAAGTTTGTATAAGAATATGAGCAGTCTGACAGACGGCTCAATTTTAAAATGGAAAATTGAAGCTGCTTGTGTTAAATGTTTGTTTTGTGTTTTCCAGGCGTGATGGGTGGCTGAGCCGCGCCCGCGCCCCGCCATGCCCCCCTCCAGGGACTCGGGGGCCTTCACGTCCACCAAGGGGCTGCTCAACGGCCCCGGCCAGAACAACTGCTTCCTCAACAGCGCTGTCCAGGTGAGCCCCAAGTCCTCTCTCGGCCTCCCCTCCCGGGCTCAGCCCGCGCCCCGCCCGCCGCACTGTTAAAAAAGCTGTAAGGAAGTACAGTTTGCCTACAGTCCGCCCTGTATATTTTATGTACGGGCCGGAATGTAAAGATATTGACCGTACTTTACTGTCAAGTCAAGTGCTGTATTGGCCAAAAAGACGGTTTGCGAAGTTACGGTACATCCTGTACGGAGTGGACCGTAATCAAAAATTACAGTCGCGGACGTAGTAACAAATTGACAGGGCTCACTGTAGAATTTCCTGTAGGTTTTTTTAACAGTGCGGCCCGTCGCGCACGATGGGTTGCCTACACCTCGGGCGGGACCGGCCGGGCCACCGCCGCCTGGGAAGGGAACGTTGCTTCCGGCACCCTTCTATGAGGTGGGGGTACACATATCTCCGTTTGGGTTCGTAATGGACCCCGTGACATACCTCAGTGTAACGTATCGAGGGGACTCTACGAGCTTCGATCGTGAGTCTGATCCGGGCGAGTATGACGACTGTACCCTCGTCCTTCTGAACGACGCTGTGCCGCTTACCCTCCAGCCTGTTGCTGCTGACCCAGGAGCGAGGATTATTACTTTTCGCGCAATTAGTCCTTTCCGTTTCACTTCCAGCAGCTCCACCCACGATTATTATACTATCCCCTTTCTTGCTGGAGCGGGGTGTGGTGTGGTGGGGGGGCGGGGTGGGGCGGGGTGGGGTGGGGCGAGGCGGGGCGGACGGAGCCAAAGCGACCCTCCCCGGCGGACACTCTGCTCCGCGGGCTTGCCGCCGCTCGCGTATAAGGCTTTTCAATCTCCATTACGGTACACTGCAAGGAGGCGTGTGCTGTACGTGAGAGGTGCGCACCATACCGTCCTCCTGGGCAGCAGAGAGAGAGATGCGACACTTCTGTCTTTGTCAAGCCCGGACGGTACTTACATGCGGGAGATGAGATCTAGTTCAGGGACGGGGACGTAACACTTCTGCTACGGGGAGGGGGGCGGGGAGGTACTGTGCGGGGACACAGCAGGCCCCTGTGCCCATACTCTCTGTCTGTGTGTCTGTTGCCCACCTGCCTATCTGTCTGTGTGTCTGTCTGCTGCCGGCCTGCCTAGCTGCCTGTGCCAAGTGTTGATATCTCGAGTTATTCAGAGAACGAGGTATCTTATCTCCGGCTAGGTGTGGCTCTGCTGTCCAAACGACGAGATTTTGAGGAAGTGGGATTTGTCATGACGCTGTGCGGGTAGCGGGGCGTGATCCTGGGAAGCACATTTATACCCGTTATCTGTTCATACCGAGGGCTCCGGGACCGGCAAGGGCACACATAGGCGGGGCCGGCGGCGGGGCTGTCCAAAGCCCCGTAATATTTTTTCTGGTTATAATACTCTGCACCGGATTCTAGACCTGCTAATAGGTTGTGCATGTATTCGCGTGAGCAGGGTGGTTAAAAAAAATGACTAATAGTTGTTGAAGCTTAAGGGAAAACGGAACTTCTATAGTTATGTAAAAGCTAAGATTTTGGGTCCTATAGAAAGACAAGGGAATTCCCCTTATTTTTTATGAGAGATATATTAACTACATGATTAATAAATTCCGGGACTTGCTCAAAGTTTTCCACTTTTCCTCTAAAAACAAACATTGATTTTACCATTGTGATTAGAGTTGCTGCAAGCCCGCCGGCAGACTGTGTATGCAACCAACCTATAGAACACCACCCCTGTGTTGTTTTTATCTATAAAATTACGTTTTGTCTCCAGTGTAGGTAGAAGACTAATGCAAAGCGGCGGGCGATTATTGTGCAATAAAGTCCGGTGGTGGCGCCGTTGTTCTGCAGAGGCGGCCTCTCTCTCTCTCTCTCTCTCTCTCTCTCTCTCTCTCTCTCTCTCTCTCTCTCTCTCTTTTTCTCTCTCTCGTTCAACACAAGGAGCGGCCCTATAATCGATATCGCTATGATCATTTTGGTCGAATTGGAGGGCCCTTTCGACACCTCGATCGCCCAGCTGCGCTAAGTATTGGAAGGGAAGCCGTTGCCGACACCTTATACCGGCCACCCCAAACAGTCTCTGATATTATAATAGTTTAGTGGAGCGCTCCCCGCCCACCTCTGGTCCAGGGCCTGCGGGGAGGCGGCGGTGGCGGTGGGCGGGAGCCGCGGGGCGGGCGCGAGAACTGTCCGGGGCCAGGTCGCGCCCGCGCTGCAAGAGGCTAGATGATCCAGTTTGGAAAAGTCAATTTAGCTACTACTACATATGTAGTCCAACGGAAGAAAAGGGACTGAGTGGTTACTAGATGCGTGCCAAAGCATGAGAACGAATCGAAATATATGCAAACTGTTAGTTGCAAAGTTTACCATGATAGTGGAGACTTTTGGCGATGGCTTTTTGGCGGTACCGGGCTGACTGGGTAAGTGAGAAGTGCAACAAGTGGTGGCTGCGCGTGATGTGACGATCAGCCCCTCTCTCCTCCTCTCTCCTCCTCTCTCCTCTCTCTCCCCCTCTCCCCTCCCCCCTCCCCCCGTCGCCCTCCGTGTGAGATGGTTGCGATGCATCAGGTGACACCCACGGGCGCCGCTGGCCGGGATGAGGTGTGGGGTGTGGGCCCCGAACTGTGCGCGGCCCTCCACGCCCGCCATCAACACCTCCTCCATCAGGGCCTGCAGCCTAGGCCTGTAGCGGGCGCCCCGCGCTGCCCACGGCCCTCTGGAGGCGTGCCCTCCCGGAGGAGGCCGCCTCTAGGCACATACCCTCACGAACAGACAGCGTTACATAAATATATTTTGTACGAGGGGGTTTTCACTCGAGATTTCCGTGCACACAGTATTTCGTATTACGTGTATTTCGTCGGTATTTTTCAGGAAAAGTTCACCGTTTTGGAGCATATTTAGGCGTATTTCGGTGTATTTCACGTGAAATACCTGT